TGACTTCTATTCAGCTGAAGCAGTAACAGAGTGAACAGTGAGATTTTTAGACACAACTATTACTGATACCTCATTGTGTTGTTTTTTGTAAGATGAATCATCTCAAGTTTCTCTGATGTGAAGGCCATCTTGTTTATCTCCCCCCACCTCAGAATACTCTGTATATTCTGTTTGAGAAGAGTGGCATTATTGTCAAGTGAGTGGGTCACCTGCCAGATGTTCAGATCATCTGCATAGTCAAAGTGCAATTTCAAGTTTTACCACAGCAGCTTTGCCAGATACAGAAGGAACAGTATTGATGATAAAGAAGATTTCTGTGATATGCCACATTGCATCTAATGTGCTGCTGTGATGATCCCCTCTAACCGGATCTGAGCTCTGTGTTCAGTGAGGAAATTGTCAATGAGCTGCAGCAGCTCATATGATCATCTCTACTGTGTCATGTGTTGAAGCAGCTGTCTGTGCAGCACAGCATCAAAGGCACTCTGCATATTCATTGTGATCATGAACACTTTCTTGTTTTATGTGAAGGCTGCCTTCATCTCATAAGTGAAAGCAGCTACCAAGTTTATTGCAGATTATCTGAGCAGCGCCCTTTTATACTGTGAGCTGATTATATCATAAATGAGTGCTGTATACACCAGTTGCCTTGCAATGATGTGTTTCAACCCTTTGAAGATTACTGAAAGCAGGGCAATGAGTCTTCAGAAGTGGACTGAGCTTTTATCTCTCTTATTCATTTTGAATATCATTGCCATCTCTGCCAGTTTCCAGGCTTGTGGGAAGTGGCAGAGCTGGAGGCAGCAGTTGTATAGCTGCTATATAAAGAGAAATACATGCTGCCAGCATGCTTTGAACATCTGCACTGTGATTTCATTTATGTCTAGAGAGGTGCTCTGTATTTCAATGATGTTATTGTAAGAGATGGGCTACAAGAGTAATTACAAGAGTAGTGTGAAGTACGCACAAAGGATATTAAGAAGGTAGCAATCTCTATTGTTCAAAGCTAATCGCTGATTTCCTAAAATCCACGGATATCAGCGAGCATTATATAGATAATATTGCCATCGCCACGTATCTATCGCCACGTATCTATCGCCACGTATCTATTTCCTAATATAGATATCTCCGTTGCGCCTATTACAATTATCTCCCTTCTTCAAAGGCCTGGTCCCCAGGGCTTCTTATTGTGCGAAGTTCGTAATATGTGCTGCGTGGTTGATATTGTATAAAGTTCGCAGGATAGGACCGAATTAATTGTTCGGGTTAATTCCGAAGCGTTGCTGACTCGGGAAAACGTTGTTCCAGTTTCGGTGTTATCGCGGTCCAATCATGATTTAGGCACAACCCCTGAACCCCTTTCCTTTAACCTTAACACCACAAATCGTATCCTAACGAGATCATCACCATCATCACCAACAACGATTTTTTTTTATTTAAAAGAATACACCAATTGATCTAGCAAAGTACACTGTATCTTCCCATGCGATTTTTATTGCGACATTCGAAGTTTTGGTTGCGTGGTTGCGTTTTCTATTTTGGGTCGGATTTTGTGTTGTTGCAACTTCTTTGATCGATATTGCAATATTGATTTTAACCACCAACATCTGTTCTTTTCTTGCTGCTTCTTGCCTCTTCTCTCTTCTTAAAAGGTTCTTGATACTGATTAATGTCGTAATAGAATGTCAGAACCAGCTGCTTCCGTTGCCGGTTCAGAACCTATGGAGGGTGATATGCTGAATGCCATCGAGAGCATTTGCTTGGGTTGTCTGGAAAGGTTGCAAAACCCTCCAGTAACCCTTGCTTTGTGAACGACGGGCGGACACGCTGTCACGCCTGCCATATATGGAATACTGGGCAAGGATCTTGGTGCGTTACTTGAGTTATCCGATAACGCTGGCGAAGATGAGGAAGCGGACGGTCCCGTTGAAGTGTTAGAAAGGAACGCAGCAGCATATTGCTGTCGTTGTATTCGACATTTAACAACGTAGAATTAACCTGTATTAGGTGCCAGCAGACGCCGTCGAGTTGGCCCAGGCGGCTATTAACGCAGCTGAGGATTTAATTGTCGCTGGTGCAGACGCTTCGAACGTTAACGTTTTACAGGGTGCTGTGACAGCTGCAGTTAAGTTCTTCGCAGCGAAGATCCGTGGGGCTCAACGAAATGGTTCCCCTGAGGCCCCGGCTGAAACAGTGATTGGTGAGATCCCGGTGGCTACATCGCCGGTCGCAGCTCCCGAGTCATCGTTGAAACGTCGTGCTTCGCCAGTTGAGGAAATCCGGGGTAATAAGCACGTCTGCCTTGGTGACAATTCCTCAAATGACACTGGCCAAGCTGAGGCGGATCTGTTTTTTAATCCCTGGGCGGAATAAGTATGTTTAGCAGTCAACGTCGCCTTCTTCGTTTTCGTTTACTGACTGGCTCCTGATAGGTTTTATTAAACTGTTCCAAGTACTCCTGGCTGTTCACCAAATTTTCTTCAGGTTCCCAAGAATTATCCGCGTCTGTGCAATCCTTCCATTTAACAAGATATTGGGTTTGACCACGGTACTGACGTTTATCCAATATAGCTTCAACTTCCCATTCCTCCTGCGCGTCTATAATTATCGGTTCTGCCTGTGGGATCTGTCCGTCGCGCGCGTGATACGGTTCGAGAAGGGAAACGTGGAACACGGGATGAATTCCTTTATATTGTGGCGTAAGCTTCAGTTTGTACGCCTGCGTACCGCGTATATCAATTATTTGGAAGGGACCCAAAAATCGATGATCTAGTTTGGGTGAAGGTCGCAAGGTGGATATATTTTTTGCACGCAGCATTACCCAGTCCCCTATCTTAAAGCTTTTTGGTATATGGCGCTGATCATAATACTTTTTCTCAGCTGCTTTGGCAGCTTCTAGGCATTCTCGGATCCTGTTTTCTGCTTGCTTCATCCGTTCCACTTGTTCTATCGCCGACTTTGACGCGCCCGTGCTTGGGGGTTCCACGTCTATACGAAGTTCAGTTGGTCGGCCGATCATCGCTTCAGATGGTGTCATTTTTATCGATGCGTGGAAGGCGTTATTATATGCCCATTGCGCCAGGGGAATCCACTCTATCCAGTTATCCTGCTGGTAGCTGCAATATGTGCGAAGATAATGTTCAATCACCTGGTTCAATCGTTCCGTTTGGCCGTCGGTTTGCGGATGGAAGGCTGTTGATAATTTTCGTCGGACATGGAGTAAGTAACATAATGTTGACCAGAACTTGCTGTTTATTAATGAATCTCGGTCGCTAATAATGTTCGCAGGTAGGCCAAAGTTCTTCGCAAGCTTCCATACAATAATGTCCGCGAGTCTTTCCGCATCTAGCTTTGAAGATGTGGGTACAATTATGGCCCATTTAGTGAACAAATCAACAAATACGACAATAGCATTGTAAGTTTGACTTCCCTTCTTATTATCTGGTAGGCCTTCAATAAAGTCCATACTGATTGTATGCCATTTCTTATCTGGCACTGGATGTGGTTGTAGCAACCCGTACGGCTTATGCCGCGGTATCTTGACGCGTTGGCAAACATCGCAGGTCCTCACATATTCTGCAATCTCATCGCTCATACCATGCCACGAGTACTTGCGTTTGATCGCTTCGATGGTTTTGTCACGTCCAAAATGGCCACCTTGGGGATCATCGTGGTTCATTTTCATTATTTCATGCCTTACGGCCTTGTCTTGCGGTACGTAGACTTTACCATCTTTCCTGAGCAGGCCATCTTTGTCTACTGCCCAGGTCGAACGATCACCTACGCTAGCGTCACCCACCTCTAGTCTTCTGCGAAGTTCAGACGTGCCAGCGTCCCTATTCTGAACCTGCAGCAAGAGTTCGACAATAGATTCAGCTACCTCTTCGCGATAGGCTATCTCGGACTCAAATACCTTAACGGCTAGAATCCGTGGCACCAGGGTCCCTAGGTCTAACCCCGTAACGCCGGCGACTTCGTTCTCATCTGCAGGTGCGTTCTTTATCCTGCAGGGTTTGTTGTCATCGATGACTACGGGCCCCTTCGCCCAACAATTTTCTTTAACTTGCAGATTTTTTCGCACCATCTTGACACATTGGTCTAACTTTGTGTTTTCTTTTGTCTTTAGTGACTTAAAGATCCCCTTACGCAGCTTCTCTTGCAGGGTAGGGAGCCCCGTCAAGGGAGCTGCGTGTTTTATATAATCTGAGCGACGACTTGGTGCATCTGCGGGATTATTTTTCCCAGGATGGTGCTCAATTTCAAAATCGAACGCTGAGAGCATTTGCATCCAACGAATCTGACGCCCATTTAGCTGCTTCGTCGTCATGAAGCGCCGGAGGTTGGCATGGTCAGATAAAACAACTATTGGGTGCCTGCTACCATGTAGGTAGTGGCGCCATTGCCTGAAAGCTTCTACAATCGGCAACATTTCTAAATCATATGTTTGATAATGTCTTTCTGCTTCTGTGAGTTTTCTGGACCAAAACGCGATCGGGTGCCAGTGACCATCATCCATTAATTGCGATATTACTGCGGCGATTGCAACGCCAGATCCGTCCGTTTCTATACGGAGTTTTCGCTGCGGATCAAAATGAACTAACAACGGTGCTTTTGTAAAGCATTCTTTTAACTGCAGTATTGCGTGCTTGCAGTTCTCGTCCAGTTGGACAGGTGCGTTGTTCTTCCCCTTTTTTGTTTCGTATCCTTTTAGCAACTCAGTTAGGGGTGCCGTTATTATCGAGAACTTGTATATGAATCGTCGGTAAAAGTTGGCGAATCCTAGGAATGTTTGCAGCTCGTTTATTGTTCGCGGTTCAGGCCAATCTAGGATCGTATCGACGCGGCGTTTTTCGACAGTGATGCCCTGCGTGGTAATCACAAAACCCAGAAATCCAATTTCTGTTGCATGGAACGTACACTTACTAAGTTTCACATATAGTCTCCATCGCCTTAAACGTTCCAGCACATTCTTAACATGGGCGACGTGTTCGTCAAGCGTATTCGAATAGATTACGATATCGTCAAGATAAGCCACGCAATATACGTCCAAAATATCACTGAGGGCCTTGTTGATATAAGATTGGAAAGTCGCAGGGGCGTTAGTTAGCCCCTAACGGGTAAAACCAGATACTCAAAGTGTCCGTATCG